AGACCCGCACACACACGCACGCACACCCCCACACACACACCCACGCCCACACACACACCCACACACCCACACACACACACACACACACACACACACACATACACATACACACATGTTTGTTTTGCTATCTTTGTGGGGACTTTCCATTGACTTCCATTCATTTCTACAGCCTAAACCTGACCTTTACCCTTTTCCTAACCCTAACCATCACATACCTAACCCTAACCAACCAAAACTCAATTCATACCTTAGCCCTAAATCTGACCCCTGACCCAAAAACAGGGTTTCCCCTTGTGGGGACCAGGCTCCGGTCCCCACAAGGAGCAATTGGTCCCCACAACGTAGTATATGTCAGGAAAATCGTCCCCACAAGGTATTACAAACAAACGCACACACACCCACACACACCCACACACACACACACACACACCCACACACACCCACGCACACACACACACACCCACACACACACACACACACACACACACACACACACACACACACCCACATACACACACACACATACACACACACACACATACACACACACACACATACACACATTCAAACAGAAACTTCAGTAACATGTCAGCCAGACTTTCCTTCTTTGTTGGAGTTTTTTTCTCAGATGTTTGTTAGAATCGAATTCGATCCTTGAAGTGATTTTGGTCTCTTTGTGTCTCCATGAAGTTTCATTCAGCAGTTTCTCTCCTCCAGGTGACCATCGGGATGACGCTGCTGTCTGGAGATCCCTGCTTCAAAACGTGAGTTCAGGAGTCTGACCTCAACCTGAGAGACGGACCACCGACTCACCACAAACTGGATGGATGGATGGATGGATGGATGGATGGATGGATGGATGGATGAGCAGAGGGTTGAACAGATGGATGACTGCAGCTAATGCTAATGCTAGCTGCTCCCTGCAGGCCTCCCAGCACGGCTAAGTCCGTCCTGATTGGACTGGAGGATCCCAACCTGCAGCTGGCCTGTAAGGGGGACAGCACCGCCTCTCTGCAGCCACCAGGGGGCATCGTGGAGGGGCCTGGTGCCGTTAAGCCCAGACAGTCTTCTGTTCGTGGTTTAGGTGGGATCTGCTGACCCGGTTTGTTGTCAGGAATCGTAATGAAAGCCTTTAAACCCGTCCTGTGTTTCTCGGCTGCAGGGCGGCCGGAGCAACCTGACGGCCTTCACAGCCCGGATGATGTCTTCCTCACTCGGCACGTCCGCAGCGCCAGTCAGCACAGCAAAATATCAGGTCAGCTCCTGTTTCCATCAGCGTCACTGATCAATGAGGATGGAGCTGTGGCATCTGTTTAACCTGGAAAACCTCCACCGCTGGAAACAAACAGCAAAACTAAGGAGACAGAGCCACAATCAAATGTCTGGGAGGAAAATTAGTGACATTTCTAAGATGAATGCTGATTTAATCTGGTTTTGTTAAAAAAACATTTTCTATCTTAAAATCAGAAGTGGAGCTGCAGAAAAAGTAAGACTTCACACATTCTCACAAGGTTTTCATCAAACCTTCAGGGCTTAAATCCAAGCTAGCATGGATATTTTGCATTTAGCGAGCTAACATGCTAGTTGCATAAATGTTATGCATATCAAAGTGTCCCACAAGTATCCAGTGTAAAAGGTGTTTTGTTTTTGTGAAATGTTAGATTTGTAACAGAATCACCTGGAGCATGAGATTAAAGAACAACCTGATCTAAAGGAGAGAGTTCAGCTGAAACGATTCGAAATTTACAGAACAATCAAGATTAATGAAACCAACAAGTTCAAGAATGAAAACAGAAAGAGACGACGTCTGGATCAGGAGGTTTTCAACACTTTGAACGTTTTTCTTTCTTCTTCTCTTGTTTCCCTCCAGGCTACAGCACCGGTCACTCCCGCTGCTCCAGCCTGACCGACCTCCGCCACCGCCGGCACGCCTCGTCCAGCAGCGGCGCGTCCTGCGGCGCCGCTCAGCCCGCCCCGCCGCTGCCCCCCACCCCCACCAAGCCGGAGCGGCCGCCCCCGCCCTCGGCTGCCGCCCTGCTGTCCCACCGCTCCTCCAGGTGGGTTCTCACCTGTCCCGGCACGCTGGCCGAACGCAGACATGTCGGCTCACATTCCTGGGATTATTTCACTGCTCAGCAGGAGAAACGGGGAGCAGATCGGATCAGGATGAGATTCCCAAAGGGATTCTGGGTATTTTTAAAGCTGCAGTTTGTAACTTTGATAAAAATATGATTTTATATATTTATTAAAACTACTGCTGCTGCTGTCTGAAGAAACCAAACCAAAATCAACCAATCAGAGCCAGGGGGCGGGGCTTAGAGCTGTCAATCACCCTCATCTACTCGCTGCTAAATGTGCTAATGGCAGAGAAAAACTGTTGCCCACTGTCATTGATGGATATGATATCCTGGGTAAGGGTGATTGACAGCGCTTAGACCCGCCTCCTGGCTTTGATTGGTTGTTTCTAGCTAGCAGGTGTTAATTCTTACAGGTGGGTTGTGATAAACTGCTGCTTCAGGGTCACGGCAGGCAGCGTTCAGTGACTGATGATGATGGTGATGGTGATGGTGATGATGATGATGATGGTGATGGTGATGATGATGATTAGCAGGAGGAAGAAGGACGCCGTGGAGCGCCAGCGGAGTTGCGTGGACGACACTCGCATCGACGCCGACGACATTGTGGAGAAAATCGTCCAGAGTCAGAACTTCTCAGCCGGCAGCAGCGACGAAGGTTCAGATCTCACTACGAACCAATCAGCTCTCAGCTCAGACACTATGAACCAATCAGCTCTCAGCTCAGACACTATGAACCAATCAGCTCTCAGCTCAGACACTATGAACCAATCAGCTCTCAGCTCAGACACTATGAACCAATCAGCTCTCAGCTCAGACTCTATGAACCAATCAGAGTCCAGAGTTAAACAGGAAACATTCATCAGCCATGAAGAGGAGACATGTTGAATCCAGCAGCTCAGACACTTTGATTTATTTGATCATTTATTGGTTATTTCGGTGCTTGTTGTTTTTTCCAGCTGTTGGACACAGAAATTCAGAACAAAGTTTGTTTTCGTTCATTTAGGGTCAAAGTTCAAACTCTAATTTAAATGTTTTAATTAAGTTAATTGCAGCATTTGTAATAAATTAATTGAAAAGTTATGGTTTTCCCCATTAATTTCTCTTTGTATTTATTCCAGCTGATGAATGTTCAGTTTTTGTGTCAACTACGGTAACCATGGTAACCAGATTGACGTTGCCGTGTGACTGTTTGTCCTCAGACAGCCACCTGAGACTGTTTGTCAGTAAAGACGGGACCACAGCCCTGAGCGGGACGCAGATGGCCACCAGGTAGGGCTCCAGAACCAACCAGAACCGACCAGAACCAACCAGAACCCAGCAGATCCTGACCTGATCTCTGCTTCCTGTCTGTCTTCCAGAGGATCTCCGGGCGTCTTTGAGCCAGTGGTGATCGAGACTCACTGAGGCTCCATGATGGAGGTTCTTCTGCAGACCCGGTTTACTCAGAACCAGCGGTTCCCGTCCGCTCCGGGTCGCTCCACTCACCTCCATTATCAGCTGCTTTTAAATCTGAATGATCTGGATTATTCCAGCAGAGCCTGGCAGGATCCAGGCCTCCAGATGATTAATCCTGAATGTGTGAGAATAATCCAGAACAATCCAGAATAATCCAGAATAATCCAGAACAATCCAGAATAATCCAGAATAATCCAGAATAATCTGACACTCGGCGGGTAAAAATGTTTCTTCTTTTTATGCACAGAAACGTATTAAAACCCATAAAGTTATGAATTTACCTCGGAGTCGGATGTGAAGCTGCAGGCAGTTTTAACATTTTTATTCTGAAACATTTCAGCTTCAGAACCGGTTCTGACCCGATTCAACAGAACCGCTCTGCTTTAAGACAACAGAGTTCTGCAACTTTGTGATGACATCACAAAATGTTTGGTTTTATAACTCAGAGGATTATTTTACTTTAACGCTGAGGACGTTATTATTATTATTATTATTATTATTATTATTATTATTATTATAGTCTACTGGTTGATCAGTGTGTTGTTTGTATTTCACAGTTTTGCACGTCTAACCTCTGAGGTTTATTATTAATAACCACTATAACAGTTTTGAATCTCTGCTTTAATCTCTGTCGTGTTTCTGAATGGAGAGAAAATTGATGAATATTTTCTCTTCGTTCTCCAACCTGGATTTTATTACTTTAAATCCATTTAAAACACATTAAAGAGCCTTTAATCAGCTGTGCCTTTTTAATGCAGAAAAATTAAACATTGATTTTCTTTTGCTTCTCAGGATCTGTAGCTACTGAATGATTAGCCGCTAACGGGGATGCTAAAGGCTAAAGGCTAATTGCTAGTTTTTGTTACCGTTCTCTGAATTTTAGTCACAATTTTGACATTGATACATGAAAAATGTATTATTCACATTTCTTTTATTCTGTCTGTAGAACAAGTGCAGGTGTGTGTCTCCTAAAGCTTTAAATGTAGCAGCTAGCAGTAAAGAGGGCAGCTAGCTGCTAACTGCTAACTGTTTGTTGTTTCTCATCTGGGTAATAATTTTCCTTGTGGTTCACGAAAATGTAATGTAGAGATCTGCTTGATCTTTTCTTGCTCTTGAGGTTTTGAGGTTCTTCTAACTGATTTAGCTGTGGTGTTTAGGAGTTAGCAGGACGCTAGCAGCTAATTTTCCTCAGCATTTTGTTAGGGTTAGCGTTAGGGTAGAAGTTAGAGCATGTGCTGCTGGGACCTATATTATTTTATTTGACTTTTCTTTGCTTCATTTTGGCTCCTGGTTAATAATCTATTTACTGCTGAGCCGCATCATGTAGTTAAAAGGCTAACTGTCTTCAGCCATTTGTTTGTATGGAATCACAGAAGTGCCACAACAAAGAGATCATATATTTTAAAAGGAAACATTTGTATTGTTTGTGTCTTTCATTTGTTTATATTTACTATTTAATAATTCCTGTGGTGAATTATTTTAGCAACACATTATTATTATTATTATTATTATTATTATTATTATTATTATAAAAACTACACTGAAATGTGGCTGCTTGAAAGGAAAGTATTATTTTTGGTATTGGATTGAATTCCCACATTAATATTTCTATTCTTTGTTGTTATGCTCAACTGTAGTCAAACTCCTAATTGTTTTTTGTAATATTTCACACATTTATTCTTTTTGTGGCACTCTTAGGATTCCATACACAGAGTAGATTTAAGTTTTCTACAGCTAGACTGACGTCTTTAGAGATAAATTATTGTTCTGATTCCCACAGTGATGAATTATTAGTGCCTTTAAACCGAGCAGGAAAAGTTTTTCTGCTGGATCAGAAACGTTTGTTAGCTTTAGCTGCTCAGTTTTCATCCAAAGGGACAAACTCCAGTCAGAATCAGCCGTTGTTATGCATGCAGATGTTTCTGTGGTTCTGTTGGGCTCAGAACCAGCTGCTCCAGGACAAAGCCTGGCCTGTTCCATAACCAACAATAGACAGAGAAACGGACCTGAACGGGTTGGTTGCGGTTCTGGATGTGTGGATGGATGCGTGCAGGTCACGTGTTTGCTTCTTCCGCCATGTTTCACATCGCTTTACTAAAAACGTTAAAAACTGAATATGTAATATTTATCTGCTCCGTCTGACCCAGATAGATGCTCAGAGTTAGAATCAGCAGGCTGGTTCTGGTTCTGGTTCTCACTGGATCTTAAAGCTTTATAAACACTGAATTAATTACAGTGGAACCACTTAACTGTATTTTAGACAAAACGTCCATCAGACATGTGTTACCTGTTATTTTTACACAAAGTGTTTTATTTTTTATTTTGGTGAAAAGGGTTTTAATGTTTCATAATGATTCAAATGAAACTGATGAATGAGATTATGATTTATATTTTAAGTGTTGTGATGAATTAATGTGTTTGGTACAGGGAATAAATGATTTATTTCACATGTTTTTATTACGCTGATCTAAATGTAAACGGTTATTTTAGGTAAATTTATGGTTGTTTTTGTTATTAATATTCAAACAGATTTTAACTATTTACATTCCTTGTTTTAAAACAATTGTTATCAAATTAAATGGAAAAGCTGTGATTAATTTCATGCTGTGCTTCATATTTTCATCCACATTTAAATTGAAAAATGTATTTTCCTTTTATTTATGTTCAGAGCTTTGCTAAAGTATTCACACCCCTTGAACTTTTCCACATTTTGTAGCTTTAAGAACAAATGACAGACAAGTGACAGACCAACACAAAGCGGAGCATGATGGTGAAGTGGGATCAGAATGATGCATCGTTTTCAACATTTTTACAAATTGGTTTGGTAATAATTTTTTTTACAAAGATTTTAGTGTGAATATGTTAAAAATAAAATGAATTTTTTATTTTTATTTTATTTTTATTTTTACAGATAATTTTTTTTGTAACTGAAACTGAAGATCGGATTTTTTATCTAAACGAATCTTTAGCGGATGGCGGTGAAGTTGCACAATACAACCGTTAGGGGGCGACAGAGACCTGAGCACTTCCGGTAGGTTTAGGAGAAGAAGTAAGAAGCCGGAAGCATCGACAAATAATCCTTCACTACGTGTCTGTAAACATGGTAAGAAATACAAATAAAATAATCAAACATTTATGGTCAAAGGCAGATTTAAAATGAATTTTTAGCGTTTAATGTGTGACCGGAAGTTCCCGAGGTGAAGCATGAAGATAAAGTTGTTTTTAAGAGGTTAGCCAGTTAACTTGTAGCCTCGCATTAACTGTAACTCTGATTTAGTATAATACAGTCTTATTTTATAGTTTTAATAATTGTGTTGGTTTCAGTCTTAAGTGACGATTTGAAGCTAATTATTTGCGAATAGTTTCTGAATGATTTGTTCGTGTAACTTATATCTCTGTTCAGACAATTTTTATTTATTTGTTGAAAATAACTCCAGATCTATAAAACTTTTCGACGCCGAATTCAAGAGGAAACGTTGTTTGCTTAGAAAATACGTTTTATGATCATATTCTTTCCACAAAAATCTGGTTTTTGTCTAAAATGTTCAATTATTTGTAGGGAGTCCCGGACTGGACGGAACCAATGTGAAACAGAAAATAACGGAGGAAAAACGGAACATTTAGCAGTTGCACCAGCTTATGTTTATGATTCTGTTCAGTGAAATGACTTCACTAATATTCAGACTGCAAGAAAATAATGAAATCTAAAGAGTTTTAATCTAATTTCATACAACTTGAATGTTTCTGTTAAATTGTCCCCTCAAAAGGTTAAAATGAAATAAAAGGAAAATAAAATCATTTTTCATATTTGACACTTCCAGGTCTATCCGTCCCCCGTTTCTCCAGGTTTTCTCCATGTGTCCCAGGTTTCTCCAGGTTTTCTCGATGTGTCCCAGGTTTCTCCAGGTTTTCTCGATGTGTCCCAGGTTTCTCCAGGTTTTTCCAGGCTCAGAGCCGGAACAGAAACCTGTCTGGTGAACTCCCAGTGAAGGGAATGTGTTTGCTGTGTTTCCAGGCTACCGGAGCGGATCAGGCGGTCGGGATGAGTCTGGTTCTGTTCAGCCTGCTGCTCTTCTCGTATTACACCGTCTGGGTCATTGTTCTGGTACGGGACCTGATCCTGGGAGCGAAATGAATCCATTATTATCAATCTAAACATCTAATTACTGGATGTTATTATAAATTCAGTCATGATGTTTCTGTCATTATAAATTAATTTTCTCCCTGATGTCTTCGTGTTTCTGCAGCCGTTCGTCGACGGACGCCACGTCCTTCACAGATACTTCCTTCCTCGGGAATATTCGGTCATCCTGCCTGGAGTCGCTGCGGTGCTGCTGCTGCTCTGCGTAGGTCAGAGGTCATGTTTACTCTACCTTTCAGTTCCTGACAGACTGAAGCTGATCTGGTTCTGGTTCTGGCCCATCAGCTTTACTTCAGCTCTTACTAATTCACTCAGTTTGTTTATGCAGCAGCAGCAGGTGTTCAAACTGTCTCATGTAAAAACCAAATGTCACATTTGGTTTTTAATGAGCAGAACTGCATGTTTCAGTTTCATAATAAAAGCCCAAACTGATGCAGGAATCAGATTTTTAGTTGAATCTCAGATTTTTTCTCGGTTCTGAAGGTTTTTGGGTCTCATGTTCTGTTCGGTCCAACAGGAACCTTCACCGCCGTCATCCTGTGGAAAAACCGCAAACCAAAGAAAACCGACTGAGTCCCTCTGGACTCATCCTGAGGAACTCTGGCTCCCTCTGGTGGCCGTTCTGTCCCGATGACGTCAGAGGCTGAGCCCAAGGAATGACGTCACAGTTCAGGAACGTGAAACTGATTGTTGAATAATGAGGAAATCTGTAAATATTCAGAGTTTATTGCTATGGAAACAGTTTTCTATAAATGTAGGAGTGAATTTGTGTACAGATGGTTTCACTTTTGTTTACATTGAAATAAAATAAAACTTTTGCTCCTTAAAATTATTTGTCTAAATGTTTCAGATCAAACAAATAACAACAAACTCAGATTCAGTTTATTCAGGAAATAAATCTGTTTCTGTGAGAAAGTATTAAAAATATGCCATATCTGCTTATAGCTTATTTTCAAAAGACTATTTTAATCTGACAGATGAGACGAATTTAGATACATTTATTCATTTATTGAATTATTACATTTATTCCTCAATAAATGCAGATTTGTAAACTTCAGGTTATTTTTCTGAACTGGATCCTCTTTTTTCTCTTATTCTAACAAACATAAAATACAAGTTTGTCTTGAAGGCTGAAAAAATCAGAAGTAAACATTTTATTAGTTTTTAATATTCACCTGCGGTGCATTAATATTTCCGTCCGGATGGGGGCAGCAGATCCAAACTTTAAATCTGTAGAAAACCTGAAACCACCGATTAAAAACGATTTTTCCAGGTGAAAATAATGTGGTTTTATGTTTGTAGAATGTATTAAATTAGGGCTGAAACGATTAACCGGATTCATTGATTATTAAAACAATCGTCAACTAATTAACTGATACAAACTATAAACATTTTGCATAAATAAAATCAAGAAGGAAGCTAAAGGGGAAAATTAAAAATACGTGTAGACACAAAAAAATTTGTATTATTATGAAAAGTAAAGTTTAAATAACTATGAAAAATCTTAATAAATAAAAAAAATCAGCACTAATATTCCATAAAATTGTTAATAAATCAGAATATTTATTTACTTCCTGAATATTTCATGTAAAGTAGCAGAAACCAAAGAGAAGTTCAGCAGAACTTTGATTCCATTAAATTAATCCATAACAGATTCAGAAACCTGAACGTTTCCAGCCCAGTTTAAAGTTCGGAACCGATGGAAACTCCTGCAGAAGGACCAGCTGCTGGTTCTGGACCGGTCCGCCCAGCTGGACCGGGCAGGGCCGGGCTTTTAATTTGAAGGGACGCTGCTGGTGTGGAGCCGGAGCCCATCAGCCCGCAGAGCCAGTCGGTGTCAGGGTCTGGGTGTGACCGGATCCAGGATCAGTCCCGGCCCGGTCCGGCTGCGGCACATGAGCCAGAGACACCGGACCGAACCGGAACCAGACCCAGAACCAGCAGAACTCACTCTGAGGTGAGAAAAATGAGTCATTCTGCTCTGAAAAATAGATAGATAGATAGATAGATAGATAGATAGATAGATAGATAGATAGATAGATAGATAGATAGATAGATCGTTCAGTTGAATAATTTGATAATTTAATAAATGCTGATGTTAACGTGCAGATCATTTGAATGTTTCTGATTGGCTGATGATGAGAGGCTGGAAGTGATGCTCCCAGCTAAACAAACTCTGAGGTGAGCTGACCTGCTGACCTGCTGACTCCAGTTCCGAACCGGTCCGGACCGAGCCGAACCGCCCGCCGGAGCTTTGTTAGTCAAATGAAGGCCGGAGGTCTGAATCCATCATGTAAATCCTGATGAGAGGAAAATCTCTGCAGAGCAAAAAGCTGCGCAGCAAAGAGACAGAAAAGTTACACTGTAAAACATGAACAGCAATGCTAAATTATTGGAGAAAAAACTGATACTTTCATATTTTTACTGTGTTATTCATTCATTTAAATATCCCAGCTTTAAGTTAAATACCTGAATAGCAAGCTAATTGTTTAGTTTAGCTAGTTTGAGTAAATGTATGTTAACTACAAATTTAGTCTTGTTTACATTATTACAGCTTTTTTTGTTGTAGTTTAATTTTCTTTCAGTATTTAAACAAAAAGCCAAAAACATAAAAACCAAACATGGAGAAAATATTCATCCTTTATGATCTTCTGATCATGAAGCTGTTCTGCTCCACAGCTACGCTAACTTTAGCTAAACAAAATATTTATAAAGTAAAACAAATGAAAACCTGTCTGGTTTCTTCCTTTCTGCCATGTTGCTGTTTAGCTCTCCACACCTGGACGTCTCCTTCCTGTTTAGGCTAGCATGTAGGCTACCATGTAGCGCAGATGACCTTTGACCTTCCAGGTGTCTGGGAACTGGACCCATGTCTGACCCGGACCGGTTCTGTTGGTCGAGTTCCGGCTGGTTTGTGTTCGTCCAGGTAGCTCTAACGTTGGGGATGAACCAATCAGACTCAGAGAAAGCAGTGACATCATCAGCGGTTATTTAAAGGGCCAGTCATCCTGTAGAGGTTTGGTCTCTGCTCTGGAGCTGCGGCTGCTCTGCTGAAACGTGTTAATGAGCCACTCGGCTCATCAGGCGCGGCCCACAGAGCTTTCATCCCATTGTGCTGGTTGCCATGGTAACCCAGTTACAGACTCTGTGTTTGGTTTTCCTGCTGGCCTCTGCTCACTCTTTGATTTCTGCAGAAAGCTTTCAGCGCCTCATGCTGCCGCTCTGCTCTCTGCCCAGATGGAGCCGTCTGGACGCCTGCCGCCGCCGTCGCAGCGATCCGCCACCGTGAAGCGGCGGCGCTGGGGCGGCCTCAGGCAGCAGTGGAAACTTCTGGGTCTGTTTGAGATCGACCAGCAGCACGACTTCTACGGCCTGACCTGCAGGATGAAGGAGGGCCTGGCTGCAGCCATACACACCTCCACACACACACCGCCAGCGGTGAGTCGCGGCTGGCAGAGGCAGCATCATGCCTGGAAAAAACCACACAGGAACGCCTGGTGGCTCCCCAAACCGGCCCAGAGGTCAGAGGTCAGCAGCCTTCACGTTTTGGTCTCAGATCAGATCAGATTAAATCAGTTCTCTTCATTTCAGTTCAGTTCAGTTCAGTTTGTTTCAGTTCAGTTCAGTTTGTTTCAGTTCAGTTCGTTTCAGTTCAGTTTGTTTCAGTTCAGTTCAGTTCGTTTCAGTTCAGTTCAGTTCGTTTCAGTTTAGTTCAGTTCAGTTCGTTTCAGTTTAGTTCAGTTCAGTTCCTCATATCTGGATCAGTCGAGTCAAACTGAATCAGTTGAAGCTGAAACTTCGTCGTGTTGCTGAACATTCGTCTCTAAAATGATTCCTGCTTCGCTACGTTTGCTGATTCTTCATAATCTATGAGGTGATTTGACCTCTGTGACCTCTGACCTCTGGTTTCATTCTGACGCTGCTCCTCTCTCTGTCCAGTCAGTAAATTGATCCGAAGCTTTTAAATCTGTACAAAACGTGTCTGATGTTCATTCATTCACTTCAGAGCTGAAGCTTTTTGTTTTTGTGTCACTAATAATAAAACGCTGAAGGTCGCCACGCTGAAGGTCGCTGCGCTGCGGCGCTAACAGCTTTCCAAGGATTGATTATTGGATTTCTGAATGTGTGAGCGGTAAAATCATCTCTTAGTTTTCGGATCAGAGGAAAACCAGCAGCAGAAACTTCCACAGATTATGAAGCTATTCATCTCAGAATGACCCCTTCCTGCTGCCGTAGTTCCCTTTGGCAGCAGTGGCAGCAGGTCAGAGCGCAGCGAGGCTCAGCAACCTGGGATTCAGCAACAAGCTGCCTAAACATCCAATTAAAGTTGCTCTATGTGTCAACGCTGCCGTCTCCTGGGACCAGGCAACTACACAAACAAACAATTATTCCTGAAACTGAAACTGAGATTATCAGGAAACTCCTGATGCTAATGTAGAGCAACGGCTACAGAAACATTTAACAATCATTTATTTAAAATATTATTAAAACCAGAATCCAGACGGTTAATAATTATATTCAGTTTTTATGATTCTAAATGTTGTTGCTAAGACTTTGATTCAGGTGAAGCCAGTGAACAGTAGACGCCTGCTAATCCGCTAATAACTGAGCTAGTTTTTACATTAGCGCTTTAGCATTTTTGCTAACGTTGAAAACATTTATTACTTTAGCTTCCCCTGAACATTGACATATATGAATTATTTTGAGAGCCTCTCTATGTTCTCCTTATGGGAATCAACATGGCTGAATTTAGCTCTTTAGCATTAGCATGTGTTCAAAACCATTTTGGTATAGGCCTTTTGCGTTAGCAGAACCAGTGTTTCAGGGTTAGCATAAAGGTTAAAACTTGGATGATTATTAACTAAAGGACAGTTTGGCATCATGCCAGTATTTATGTTAGCTTTGTGAACTAGCCACAGGTTGATTCATTAGCAAGCTAACGATGATGTGCTGTGGTGAAGCAGTGAGTCCCTCTGAGCTCCAGCTGTTATTTTAGAGGAAAACTTCATTCTGGAAGTAGAAGAATAAATAAATGATTCTGGTTTGTGTAAAAATCCTGACAGGAAGTAAAATCTGATCCAGGTTCAGCCTGGAGCTGACTGGGTTTCTGTTGCTACAGAACAAACAGAATTCCCGACCCGGTTCAGCTTGGGCCTAATCCCTCTGACGCCCAGAGCGCTGACTCAGCAGTTAGCATTACGGCTCGGTCAGCGGCGCCGCCTCTGACATCACGGATCGCTGCAGCGACCTCAGCGCACTGAGCGCCAGCAGTCACTGAGAAATACACAAATATACACAGAAAACACATTTAAACCAGACAAGCCAAATTAAACAAGTCGCTGCAGAAATGGGTGGAGTTTGAAGGATTTCCTGTAGAGGTCTGTGTTACAGCACCTCTGGAAATCCCTCTGACTGAAGACATTCTGTTGTTTTATGGCTCATGAATTCCTGAATTTCCACTTTCCTTTAAAAACAGAAACAGAAACGGATTAATAACCTGAAATATGAAACAGATTGTGAATCTTTCTGTCTTACTGTGTTTCTGTTTCCAGAACGACCTTTCAGATGATGACTTCAGGTCCAAGGTCACGCAGGTGCATAAGGTGAGGTCGGGCCAGCAGGCGGTGATCGCGGCTCTGCAGGCGTCCCAGACAGTTTGCTGTGTTTGTCCAGGACTTCTCCCTGGAGACGTTCGGCGGCCCGGTGTTCGCCGCTCTGCGCGCGTCACTGGGAATCACAGAGGACGAGTATCTGCAGTCTCTGTGCTCAGAAAGCTGCTACCTGCAGTTCATCAGCAACTCCAAGAGCAAAGCCGACTTCTTCCTGACGTGAGTCTGCTGCTCAGTCAGCAGGACAACAAACGGGAAGCAGAAACTGACCACAAGGCATAAACAGAAACACGTAAATCAGAACATTATAGAAAAGCTGCTTGTTAGCATTTTAACATGTTAGCAAGGTTTTCAACCACTACAAAATTATTAGCTAATGCTAACAAAATAATTTTATTAACATAGCTGCGAACATTAGTCATTCTTAGCTATTAGACTTTTTTCAGATGTTTGTTGCTATAAGCTTATGAGCTAATGTCAACAAAATAGCTTTTATTAGCGTAGTTGCTAACGTTAGTGTATGGTAATGGTGGTTAGCTATCATGCTAATTGTAGGACGTTTAACAACAGGTGTTTATTGATTCTGTGTTTTTGAACCTTCAGAAATGATAAACGTTTTTTCCTGAAGACTCAAAACAAACGAGAGATTAAATTCCTTCTGTCCAACCTGAAGATTTACGTGGAGCATCTGAGGAAGTTCCCACATTCACTGCTGGTCAAGTTCTTAGGTACAACCCACACCTGACCTTAAGCCTGACCTTTAGCCTGAGCTTTAGCCTGAGCTTTAACCTGAGCTTTAGCCTGACCTTTAGCCTGAGCTTTAACCTGACCTTTAGCCTGACCTTTAGCCTGAGCTTTAACCTGAGCTTTAACCTGAGCTTTAACCTGACCTTCAGCCTGACCTTTAGCCTGACCTCTAGCCTGAGCTTTAGCCTGAGCTTTAACCTGAGCTTTAACCTGAGCTTTAACCTGACCTTCAGCCTGAGCTTTAACCTGACCTTTAGCCTGAGCTTTAACCTGACCTTTAGCCTGAGCTTTAGCCTGACCTTTAGCCTGAC